TAATTCTAGGAACTTCGAAAACGATTTCCCAAATCATTATATATTACCTTCTCTATGGAAAAATTGAACAAAATAAATGGGACCAAAATCAAAATTTTGATCTTTTATTTAAACGAAATCTAGAGAAAATATTCTGACATTGTTTTAACGAGAGTCTTAATTCCAATTTTGAGAAATTCTATGGAAGTTAGAAATTTTAGGAACTTCGAAAACAATTTCCCAAATATCTAGATATTACTTTCACTGTGGAAAAATTAAATGAGATAATTGGGACCAAAAGCAAAATTTTGCTCTTTTATTCAAACGAAATCTAGAGAAAATATTCTGAAATTGTTTTAACAAGCATCTTAGTTGCAATTTTGAGAAATTCTGTGAAATTAAAAAAATTTAGGAACTTTGAGAACAATTTCCCAATGTACTTATTACCTTCTCTGTGAGAAAATTGAACAAGATAAATGGGACCAAAATCAAAATTGTGATCTTTTATTCAAAGGAAATCTAGAGAACATATTCTGAAATTGTTTCAACTAGCGTCTTAATTCCAATTTTGAGAATTTCTGTGAAATTTAGAAATTTTAGGAACTTCGGAAACAATTTCCCAAATAATTAAATATTTCCTTTTCTATGAAAAATTTAAACAAGATAAACGGGACCAAAATCAAAATTGTGATCTTTTATTCAAACGAAATCCAGGGAAAATATTTGAAATTGTTTTAACGAGCGCCTTAATTCCAATTTTGAGAATTTCTGCGAAATTTAGAAATTTTAGGAACTTCGAAAACAATTTCCCAAATAATTAAATATTTCCTTTTCTATGAAAAAATTGAACAAGATAAATGGGACCAAAATCAAAATTTTGATCTTTTATTCAAACGAAATCTAGAGAAAATATTTGAAATTGTTTTAACGAGAGTCACAGTTCCAATTTTGAGAAATTCTGTGAAATTTAGAAACTTTAGGAACTTCGAAAACAATTTCCCAATGTTTTTACCTTCTCTGTGGAAAAATTAAATAAGATAAATGGGACCAAAATCAAGATTTTGATCTTTTATTCAAACGAAATCCAGAAAAAATGTTGTGAAATTGTTTTAAGGAGCGTTTTACTTCAAATTTTGAGAATTTCTGTGAAATTTAGAAGTTTTAGGAACTTTCAAAACAATTTCCCAAATAATTATGTACCTATGTTTTATCTTTTCTATGGAAAAATTGAACAAGATAAATGGGACCAAAATCAAAATTTTGATCTTTTATTCAAAGGAAATCTAGAGAAAATATTCCGAGATTGTTTAACGAGAGTCATAGTTCCAATTTTGAAAAATTCTGTGAAATTTATAAAATTCTAGGAACTTTGAAAACAATTTCCCTTTCTCTGTGGAAAAATTAAATAAGATAAATGAGACCAAAATCAAAATTGTAATCTATTATTAATCAAACGCAATCTAGAGAAAATATTCCGAAATTGTTTTATTTTAACGAGCGTGTTAATTCCAATTTTAAGAATTTCTGAGAAATATAGAAATTTTAGGAGCTCCAAAAAAAGTTTTCCAAATATTATTGTCTCCGTGGAAATATTATATAAGGTAAATGGGGAGAGGGACAAAATGTATATATTTTTTAAATTGCAATCTTAATTTCAAGAAAACCTTACAAAAATTTATTTGAACAAAATTGCTAAAACACAATTTCCATTTTTTTTTTGTTTGAAAAGTTTTCTCTGGGCCTCCAATGTGGAGGAAAAAAATAATTGTTAATTGGTCAAATTGAGCAAAGACGTTACGCTTGTGTATTCTTCCTCTCCAAAATATTGATGACGTCATCCCAGTGTCACCAAGTAAATTTCGCTTTAAACACCAAACAATTTTGAGAAATTTTTAAACCTTGATTTTTTTTAGTAGGTATGTAATTCTTTTCCATTTTTCAAATTCTATATGATTATCAGATATTTAAAACTGTTGTGTAATGTCGTATTTTGTCAAAGTACCTACTCATCGTGTTGCAATGCATTTTTAGATTTTTTACAAGATCGATCAACTTTTCAACTTATGATTAAAATACAAGTGTTTTTAATCGTGTCTAGAGATTGTTTCAGATAAATAAAAATGTCTGCATTATATAATAATAATAATACCAATTTCAACTGTGCTCACCTTGAAGTACTCACAACCATCATTATCATTCCGTCAATAAAACGAAACTTTTTGCTCCCAAAATACGTTTCATAAACAACAATCATCACTCGAACCTCCATCCAGAACCTTCCCCACTTTGACACCGATCCTCTTTTTTGGCACCTATTTTCGGCTACGTCGACGGCATCTGTACAGTGTCCGGACCGCAGCTGACTTCACGTATGCCTTCTGCTCCCAACACCTGTTGCAGACGACGCGTGCCTCCAACCGAAATAATTCAAGTATAAATTAAGTCGCGGTTCTTGCTTTCGTAGACGTAACACGAGGGTCCCAACCCATCGGCGGGGGAGTCGAGGGGGTGCCGTAATTGCTCTTTTCCAAACGCCAGAGACGCGTTACGAAACAAATCGGAGCCGCGGATGTTGGCCAATCTGGTCTTCCGGGAAAGGTAAAGGCGCGAATCACCGCACTGCGATCGGTGCCACATAAATCGCGCTGTTTAGTGCCGCTTCTGCGAAATTCTGTTGTTGTTCAGATTCACTTTACGATAACGTAAATTACAGCTGAGTGAGTTTTTTGCTTGAATTTGTTGGAATATTATAGTTGTGGAAAAGTTTTCAAAGTCGATTAAACCCGGTTTTTATTGTTGTCGTTTTAGATATACCGGGTGGTTCAGTTTTATAGTTTATAAATATATATTCAGTGCTATTTTGTGATTGTGGTGTAATTAAAAATGTTCTTTTGTTTTATGGTAGCATATAGGGGCAGTGAATTAAAAACCACCTGTGTGTAATTACTAGCGAAAAAGCCTCCTATGTGTATCAAGAAGTGGTGATCATACCACCATGTTCGCTTCTTACTAAGTACATAGCGCTACTTTGTTGTATTCATGGCTGAATATTAATTAGAAAAAAAAATGCGTCGTTTCGTATTCGCCGCATTCTCTCAAAACCCGCCTATAGATCATTGCATCGCATTCCGGACCAGTTCGTTTAATCAGTGTGCAAGTGTTTCGCTCGAGAATTCTTCGCATTTTCTATTGGCTAATTGGTCGATAAACCCGCGATTCCACTACGTACATATTATACAGTATGATTTTTTCCTTTCGCGACGTTTTACTGTTAAATTAATTTGCTTATGCAAATCGGCCGGACGGCATGCAATGAATATAGATGGACTTATAGATCATGGTTTGGCTTGTGCTAAAGCTCCGATTAATTTTATTTAAGTGATCGAATGAGGCGAGGTTGGTAGTACCGAGGCCGCGGCGCAATCTTGCAACTTTTCAGTTAAAAATACAAACTGGTGTGTGAGACAGGTGCTAGTTTAACTCAACCACCTGCTTGGTCAACAACTTGTGTTTTACGGAGAGAGCCGATATAGAGAGATAGGAGCGGGCAGTGGCGTGGGCAACGACGGGGAAACGAACGAAAAATCGAACAGTTAAAACTAGAAACGACACACTCAAATCGTTGTAATTTTAATTAACATAACATAAAATTTGATTTTTCCATAATGTCACGTTAAAATGTTACAGCCAAATTTAAAATTATCAGTGGCAACAACGTGATCAGCGTTCCCGTCGTTTGTAAAATGACATTTTAATTGTAAATTCGCTCTCAAATCACGAACCCACTTTCATCTTCGGTACCGTGATGAATGAACCCGCCACGTCCGTCTCCCTCTAACCTCTGCGGTCGCTCTTTATTTTCGACTTAACCCATGTACCGGTTTTTTACATCGGCTGCTCTTAATGGTACAATCAATTTGTGGTTGTTCGAAGCGTTTTATTGAATTAAATTGGTTACAGTTCACTTTATTATTCCGGTTCGGAGTTACTCGTTGAGGTTTTATTAATTACGTGTGTAATGTACTCGTTAAGGCAAGTTTTATTGGGCTTCTTGTAATCGATGTAGTCAGTAATTAGCCACAAGAACTGAGTAATCCACTTTTATCGACCTTTCGATGAGCGAGTTTGGAGAAAAAAGTAGCGACCTTGCCGGGATTCGATCTTCGGTTGAGTACGAGTGTTAGATTGAGTGCAGACATGTGGACCATTAACGTTCCATCTGGTGAAGAAGAATGGGTGTCATTCAGAATTAGTCATGAATGAATCCGCTATTTGGGCGAACGCTGGATGTGTGGTCAGTTTGGTTCCATGGTACGAGTGGTTTGATTTCGACCATTAAAGTGTGTATATCGAGATTCTATTATTATTATTATTTGGGTACAAGATAGGTAATCGAATCTCTGAAACATTAGCTATTGTTGGGTCGTAAATAATATCAATTCAGAATCCATTTATAACCCCATTATTGCCATCGTCACAACCATAACCATTACCATACAATAGCGTATAGCGAATCAAACCTAGAAAATCTATTTAGCCTGATGACCTCCACTTGTAGTAAAACAAGCAAACAATGCCTGAAAAAAACGCCACGGATACACGCATTAACACCAAGGTATAAACTTAGACCCAACTCAACATCCCCAGGAAGCACAACCCACAAAAAACAAACATATTCACTCTCCATCCATCGATTAATATTCACCATCGGTCCGAACACCGGACATCCTCTATAACGAAACCCATGAATGATCCTCTCCAGAGCCGAAAAAATCCTCTGAAACATCCTGTATGCGCCGATACGCAATTGGTCCATAAATCACCTTTCGATACGCGGAAGGCTGGCAGCCGAGATGTGGACCAACGGGAGATGGAGGGCGTGGTCAGCCTCCCAATTAGCCGCTCTCGTCGAGAGGCGGATCGGCGCGGGCCAATCAGACGGCGCGGTCATCTCGCCAACCTCAGCCTCCGCGATTTGCATTGTCGGCCGCCAAACCGGACTAATTCATTGTTTGCTCTAGGTGGGTACGGTCAGCTGAGGAGTCCGGCGTGTCCCCCCGCCCCCGCAGACGAGATCCGGGAGGAAGGCTCGCCGCCTCCGGGGCCGCCCTCGGGGTTCATGCATTTACAGAGAAGTCCTGCCTACCACCACTTAAAAGATGGTAAGATCGTATACAGGGTGAAAAATGAACTCTTCCGATTGTTGGCTTATTTAATCCAGGTTTCAAAAGTTCGTGTTCGCCGACCGAGTCGGGCACCAATTCCTTCGGCATGGACAACCTCCCCTCAATGAACAGCGACGATCAATCTCACCTCTTCCAGACGTCCCATTATTCGCCCGAAGAACACGAGTACCAAGCGTTGGAAGCCGGCCACCAGCCCCAGTACTTGGAAAGTTCGCCCGAATTCTACGCTGCCAACAACCTAATAGAGTCCAAGTACCACCCTGCGCACCCCTACGTCAAAAACTATGCCCGAGGTATGCATTAGTACGGACTGGCGGCGCGCAAAATCGCCCCCGATAATAAAAATTATCTAGACGGCTCGGAGTTAATGACCTTCGCTCTGTCATTTACATTCAAGGTTCAAGTAATGGCCCTCCGTAAATGGAGAAGCCATTTTGGAACAATAGACTATCTTCGAGTAACGTAATGGCGATAAGCGAGCTGGGACGTGCTCGGAACTGTATAATAATAATAATAATGATAATAACGCGGGGCGAGCTCCACTAAAGGGGAACAAACGGTGGTGCGTCAATGGAATGCATTGTTGTAGAAAAAATGTCGTGACGTCAATGCAACATCCGCCAATAATATGATAATCATAAGAGTGAAAAATGTTTTTTTTTTTTTTTTGTCAGGTACGGCAAGGTATAACGACGGCTACGGCGACACGTACGGCTCGCCCTACGATGGGTCCCCTTTCCAGACGGTGCCCAGCGGCACCAACGGTGCCCCCGACCAGTGGGCGCACAACCACGATCTCGGTTCCATTGCGCACGCGCATTCACACACGCATCCCGCCTTTCTGTCGACGGGAATGCAGGGGAGAGACCCCATCAACCCGTTGGCGCCGGATACCAAGCCCATGCTCCAGAATGGGATGATCGCCGGGTATCCCAACAGCGGGGCGCCGGGAGGGCCCTGTTTCACAGGTATGATTGGTGGTCGGCTGGCCGGTTCATAGTATGCTAATTTCTTTGTTGTTGTTTATGAAAATGGGTGGGTTTATGCGGTGTAAGCGAACTTTTGAACACTTGTTTGAGGAAACAGTTGGATTAATTGCTGATGTAGCTGTAGGCTTTGTCGGTGTTTGGATTTTAATATTAATGGATTTTTTCAACTTTGCAAAGAGCGATTAAATGGGAAATTACAGTGGTGACTAATAGGATATGCATTGTTTAAAGTATGAACATTGTGCTTTGTAAATAAACAATAAAGATAACAGGACTGTTAGAACTGTTGGGTGTTTGGGTTTGTGATTTTTTGTTGGGTGTAAACAAAGGAAACGCCAAAGAAGTCGAACATTAATAATAATAATAACAGGCTTCATCTTTGGATGATTATCACTGCTGTGGAGCCCGGAGCGAGCGAAGCTCGCGACATACAATTTTCACTTTGTCAAAGTAACTTTCCTCTTATTTATTCAAAATTTTTCACACATTTTAAAAATATATTTAAAAGATAGTGCCTTTTTCCACACTAGTGGACAGATTTCGGTTTCATCTTTTCGAAAATTCCAACAGTTTTTCCAGAATCGATCAAACTGAAAATGAAAATTTCCAAGATATTTTAAAAATTTCATTTCCAAAGCGAATTTTTTCAAAATCTTGATGCAGGAATATCAACAGGTTGTTTTTTAAATCAGCTCGTTGAAATATATTTCCCAGACTTTTTTGTGAATTTTAAGACCAATTTTCAAAAATCGTAAAATTTTCTAAACCTCCGCGAATTCTTCATTGTTTTTCGAATCAGCTCTTTGAGGTCAATGCCAGTTTTTTAAAATATTTATACAATTTTTCAAAGTTTTCAATACATGAATTCAACCTATAGAAGTTATTTTCAGCTTCAGTTTTTTGAAAATTCGCGCCTTTTTTTTTTGTTTTTGAATCGATTAAATGAAAAATGACACTTTGAAATGAAAACTGTTTTCATTTTCAAACCGAATTTTTGAAGAATCTTGGTCCGGAACATATTTTTCGAATCAAGTCATCGAGATCTATATCCAGGAATTTTTTGACGATTTTGAGGGAATTTTAAAAATTTTTAATTTCTTTTTCAATGTGAATTTTTTGCCATTTTTCGAGAACAATCGAAAATTTCCAGAAGAATGTCTGTAGATTTCGACTTGTGGAAGATAATTTCGGCTTTATTTCTTCGAAAATTCCAACAATTTTTCCAAAATCTAGAAAATTAAAAATGTCAATATTCGGGACGATTTTTCTTTAAACTGAGTTTTTGGAAAATCGTAGTCCGGAGAAGTTAACACATGTTCGAAATGCCAAAATTTTTTTCAGAATTTTTTGATAACTTCAAAATTTTAATTTTTTAATTTATGAGTTTTTGAATTTTTTGGTTATTTTTCAAGCATACGTACTCCAAAATTTACCAAAAAACATTTTCTTATAGATTTCGACTTCGAGGAGTTATTTTCGGCTTCAGTTCTTTAACGATTTTTAGGCAGTTTTCAAAATTCTCAGTTTTTCAATGTGTGAATTTTTTATAATTTTTTTAGGACCTTTTCAAATTACTTTAAGACATTTTCTTGTGGATTTCGACTTAGTCTCGGCTTTATTTCTTCGAAAATTCCAGCAATTTTTCCAAAATCGAAAAAATTTAAAATGAAATTTTCGAGACGATTTTTTTTAATTTTTAAACCGAATTTTTCGAAAATCTTGATCCGGAAAGGTTTCAAACATCCGCCGAAAATTATGAAAAACATTTCCTCGTAGATTTCGACTTCTGAATATTATTTTCGGTGTCAGTGTTTCAAATATTAAGCAATTATCTCAAAATCTAAAAAATGAAAAATTACCATTGAAGAGGTATTCTAGAAACACCATTTCAAACCGAATTTTTTAGAAAATAGTGGTCCGGTATCTTAAAGTTATATTTTTGAACCAGTTACTAAATTTGTATTTCCCCCAATTTTTTTAAAATTTTCAAACAACTTTTCAAAAATCTCAGTTTACGCTATGAATTTTTGACCGTTTTTCGACTACTGTTTGAAAAATGTCTAAAGACACTTTTTGAAGATTTCGATGTGCAGAGAAATTTTCGGCTTCATTTCTTCGAAAATTTCAACAGTTTTTCCAAAATAGATTAAACTGAAAATGAAAATTTTCAAAATTTTGTAAAAATCCAAATTTCAATGCGAATTTTTCCTAAAATCTTGGTGGAGGACCATCAACACATTGTATTTTTCGGGCCACCTTGTTGAAATGTATATCGCAGAATTTTTTGGGAATTTTTGGATGAATTTTCAAAAATCTCGAATTTTTCGATGTAGAATTTTTGACCTTTTTTCGAGCATTCTTCGAAAATTGCCCAGACATTTTTTGTAGATTTTGACTTCCAGAGTTATTTCCGGCTTCATTTCCTCAGGTTTTCCAGAATGGATTAAGCTCGAAATGAAAATTTTCTAAAAATTCCATTTTCAAAGCGATTTTTTCTAAAATCTGGATGGGAAACCATTAATAAATTATAATTTTCATATCAGTTCGTTGAAATGTATTTCGTGGAATTTTTTGGGAAATTTTAGGCAACTTTTCAAAAATCTCAATTTTTCAGTTAAGAATTTTACCGTTTTTCGAACATCCTTTGAAAATTACCTAAAGAATTTTTTTGTAGATTTCGACTTGTGAAAGTTATTTCGGCTTCATTTCTTCGAAAATTCTTCCAGAATCGACAAAACTAAATTTCAAAATTTTCAAGATTTTCAAAAAATGTAACTTTTAAAGCATTTTTTTTTTTTATTATTTTGGTGCAGAACCATCAACAAATTCTGATTCTGGAATCAGTTCGTCGATAAACATTTCTCAGAATTTTTGGAAAATTTTCAGGCAACTTTTCAAAAATCTCGATTTTTCAGTAGTACTTCCACAAATGAATTTTTGACTATTTTCGAGCACCCTCCGAAAATTACCCAAAGACATTTTCCTGTAGATTTCCACTTTATTTTTGGCTCCATTTCTTCGAAAATTCCAACAATTTTTCCAAAATGGATTAAACTGAAAATGAGAATTTTCCAAATTCTTTAAAAATCCTATTTCAAAGCGAACTTTTCTGAAATCTTGGCGCGGGCCTATCAAAAATCATATTTTTCGAATTTGCTTGCTGAAATGAATTTCCCAAAATTTTTTGGAAATTTTTAGACGAGTTTTCAAAAATTTCAATTTTTTTTTCAAAAAATCAAACTTGAGCGTTTTTTTTTTAATCTTGGTGCAGAATCATCAACAAATTCTGCTTCTGGAATCAGTTCATCGATAAACATTTTTCAGAATTTTTTGAAAATTTTCAGGCAACTTCAAAAATATCAATTTTTGGCCATTTTTCGAGCAGCCTCCGAAAATTATCCAAATACATTTTCCTATAGATTTCCAGTCGTGAAGTTATTTTTGGCTCCGTTTCTTCGAAAATTCCAACAGTTTTCCCAAAATTGATTAAAACTGAAAATGAATTTCAAAATTGTTTAAAAATGCAATTTCAAAGCGAACTTTTCTAAAATCTTGGTGCCGGCCTATCCAAAAATCATATTTTTCGAAACTGCTTGCTGAAATGTATTTCCCAAATTTTTTTGGGAATTTTTAGACGAGTTTTCAATTTATAAAGTTTTGACCAATCGGGCACCCTTTGAAAATTACCGAACGACATTGTAGATTTCGACTTATGAAAGAAATTTCGGCTTGCTTTCTTTGAAAATTCCAACAGTTTTCCAGAATCTGTAAAACTAAAAATAAAAATTTTCAAGATTTTCAAAAAATGTAACTTTTAAAGCATTTTTTTTTTTTTAATCTTGGTGCAGAACTATCAACAAATTTCTATTCTGGAATCAGTTCGTCAATAAACATGTCTCAGAATTTTTGGAAAATTTTCAGGCAACTCTTTTAAAAAACTCAATTTTTCAGTATCCCCACGAATCAATTATTGGCCATTTTTTGAGCAGCCTCCGAAAATTACCCAAAGACATTTTCCTGTAGATTTCCACTTGCGAAGTTATGGTTGTCTCCATTTCTTCGAAAATTCCAACAGTTTTTCCAAAATGGATACAACGAAAATGAAAATTTTCAAAAGTTTTTAAAAATTCGATTTCTAAGCAAACTTTCCTAAAATCTTGGTGCGAGACCACCAAAAAAAAAAAAAAAATTCAAAACAACTCGTTGAAATGTATTTTCCAGAATTTTTTGGGAATTTTTAGACAGTTTTAAAAAATTAAATTTTTCAATTTATGAATTTTTAGCCTATTTTCGGGCACCCTTTGAAAATTACTTTCGGCTTCCTTTTTTCGAAAGAAATTCCAACAGTTTTTCCAGAATCGATAAAACCAAAAATGAAAATTTTCAAAAAATCTAACTTTTAAAGATTTTTTTTAATCTTGGTGCAGCACCATCAACAAATTCTGATCCTAGAATCAGTTCGTTGTTATACATTTCTCAGAATTTTTTAAGAATTTTCGGGCAACTTGTAGTAAAGTTATTTTTGGCTTCATTTCTTCAAAAAATCCAACAATTTTTCCAGAATCGATAAAACCAAAAACGGCAATTTTCAAACCGAATTTTTAGAAAACGAACACATATTTCTCGAATCAGCTCATCGAAATCTATGTTTCAGAATTTTTTGACTATTTTTAGGCTACAAGAATTTTAATTCCAAACAAAATTTTACCCATTTTAAAAATATAGTTAAAACTTGGTACGTTACCGAACTAGTGGAAAAGTACCAAGTTACTACACCAATTTGTGACAAATGATGTTCTTTTGAATTTATGACTTGAATATTCAATAAAAATGTATGAAATTCAAGTGAATTTAGCATTACTTTGATCTCTGGGCATAAACATTTTAATTTTTAAAACTATATTATGTTATCTAAATGTGGCAAAATACCACTAAAGCTATAGTACGGAGCGAGCGAAGCTCGCGACTAGTTACAAATAGAATGTTGACACTTTCTACAAATATTTAATAAAAAAACTACAAATGTATTTTTTTCTAGGCTCCGGCCCTATCCAGCTGTGGCAATTCCTGCTCGAACTCCTCACGGACAAATCCTGCCAAGCGTTCATCTCCTGGACCGGGGACGGTTGGGAGTTCAAGCTGACGGACCCCGACGAGGTGGCCCGACGCTGGGGCATCCGCAAGAACAAGCCGAAGATGAATTACGAGAAGCTATCGCGCGGTCTGCGCTACTACTACGACAAAAACATAATCCACAAGACTGCCGGGAAGCGCTACGTCTATCGCTTCGTCTGCGACTTACAGACCTTGCTAGGGTAAGCCTGTGCTCTCTCAAACTCCCACCAGTTTTAACTAACCGAGGACTTTGCCAGGTACAGTCCGGAGGAGCTGCACGCAATGGTAGATCTCAAGCCCGAGAAGAAGGAAGATGACTGATCCAGCGCCGCGTCGCACCCCTCGCCCCTCCCGCAACCTGGTGCCTATCGGAAACCCATCACTTAATCATAAAATTGGCGATCTGCGCGGTAAACCGACGTGTCTGCGTTTAGCGCGCAGCGCACTTGCTCATCTGCACACCAACCAATCAGAAACAACAAAATTAAGTGTGATTTACTAATTAAGATAGAGTAATGTATAAAGTTAAGGATTGTGCTCTCTTGTAGTAGCGAGGGTCAGCGCCACTGATCGAGCTGTCTGTAAATATCATTATTGTGATAAGTCTTTCAGAGCAGATAGTTATATGTTTATATTTTTGCAAAGTTCAGGAGGCGCATGTGCGCGATTAAAGAGACAATATGATAAATTTTTGCACATTTGATTATTGTTAAACTTGCAATAAGATGTTTTTAAAGATACGTTCTGAATGTTAACAAGTTTTTTTATCGTGGTCTCAACCTCTAAAGTATATTCTACTATAAGTTATTATTTAAAAGAAAAATAATTATGACACGTTGGTACGGCGGGAAGTCGCGTTCACGCTGTATTTCTTTTGTGTTATCCATACGTATAAACTATGTATTAAATAGTGATGTTTGAATAAAATATTGGTTTTACCAAAATTGAAGTTTTCTTTATCACACATTTTTAATTAAACTGAAGCGACAAAGCAAAACTACGAATTATTTCTTGAATTACTTACAACCACGTTTAACTTTGCCGTTGTAATTTTATTACTTTAGTTGTGGAAAGTTCTGGTGTAGTTTAATGACTATTCGTTTTCTTTTGGCTGTATTTAGTTGGGTTACAAGTCTGAGTGCAACAGAAAAAATGTTTGGGTTTGTAACAAAAGAAACAAGTAAAAAACTCTAAAATATGAAAGCAACTAGCAAATAAACCTCCAAAATAAAATCATGAAACACAACTGTGCATAGAATTCACCAATAATAATGACCTCAATAGAATTGGAAACGCAACCCAAAATACACCTCCAAAGGATGCTCGATCTTTATCATAATTCCGACAAAAAATTCTTTAATGAATGTAACAACTGCCCAAAATGCCCATATTTTCTTTCACATACCCTAATTCCATCCCTGACTGACATTTTTTTTCTCGACTGTCCTCTGCGTCAATTTTTATTAGACATAATTTCCGAAACCTCTGTAGGTATGTGTATAGATAAAACACCAACCAAAATTTATTTAAGCTTCCCCACCAATAATGTGACGATGTCATCGCCAACTTTTCCACAGTAAGTGGTAATTAATATAAAATAGGATACTCCTAGACTCCTACACTTGTGGTTTATGAATCCACGCTGAATTTTTTCAAAACGTTTCGAAACGTTTTACGGTTTTTATCGATTCTGAAAAAACTGTTCCAATTTTAGAAGAAATGAAACCGAAAATACTTTTTACGAGTCGAAACCCACATAGCACATTACGTCCGAAGGACATCCCGGTTAGTGCCCATGCTGGATTATCCCATTGGGATCCTTTGAGGACAAGCTTAGGAATCCCAGTTAAATCCCAGCGCCATTATCCTAAGGAAGTAGCAATTTGATGGTGGTGGGATATTCCAATGGGGCAATTCTGGGATCTATTTGTAAAAGATATTCCTCACGTGCAACTTTTACGAAAGATACTAGAATAATCAAAGTCTTACATTTTTTCAGTTTTAATTTCTTATGTAAAAGTGTTTTTGTGAGAAACTATTATCTGGGAAACCCACACAGCGAACAGACTGCGTTAAAATGGTCACCTGGCGCCGTGTTACAGAACTATATCGCTGCTTGTGATCGCTGCTGCTGTGCTCGTTTGCGCAATATTGCGCTGATGTTGAGGTTATGTGGTGGTTGTGTGTTGTGTCTGTGTGATTCCGTTTGTTGATGGTACATGGCCACTGTTTTTGTGGCAGAGATTATATTTAATAGTGGATGGTAATTCAGGTAATAGAATTTTCAGTAAATATATATTCTATTTTATATTGTAGATGAAAGCAATTTGATAATATTGTACATTTATAGATAACCCACATGCATACATAACCTCAAATTATGCCTAAATCCCGCTCTTCGTTTTATCGACATGTGAGACAGTACAATTCATTTATTCTATCTTGCACTGAGAATAATGTCGTTGAGAACAATAATCCATTAAGTAGAAACCAGTATGAAAGTGCACAAGCACTTGCAACAAATTTGGAAATTACTGAAAATATTCCATTACCATCAACATCGGCTAACATCGATGAAAATATTGAATTTTGTTCAGTTTTTCACACTAGTTATTGGGAGTTATCTGATTTAGATGATAGTAGTAATGAATCTTTTACAGATTGCAGTAATACATTTTTGGTATCTAGTTTAGATTTATATCAACAATCCAATCATTCAACTTCTGAGGACAATTGTTCTAACATTACTAACGATTTAAGAGAATGGGCAATTTCTCATAACGTGTGTCATAACACTTTGAAAGAGTTACTAAAAATTTTAAAACCAGTTATGCCTAATTTGCCGCAAGACTCTAGGACATTCCTACGAACACCACGACAAACTTTGCTTAAATGTGTAAATCCAGGAAAATATTATCACTTTGGTTTAGGAGAAGGTGTTAAATGGTTACTTGAAATGTCTCTCCCACCACCATCTGTACAAACAATTGAAATTTGCGTTAATATTGATGGGTTGCCATTATCAAAAAGTTCCAATTCTCAACTATATCCTATTTTGATATCACTTTTCCCTCAGAATAACTACATTTCAATGATCGGTATATATCATGGTAATGAAAAACCCAAAGATTCGAATCTATTTCTAAAAGATTTTGTAGATGAAGCCATTATGATGGTGAACCACGGTTTTGAATTTAAGGGAAAAAGATATTACTTCAATATTAAAGCTTTTATTTGTGATGCACCTGCTAAATCCTTTATAAAATGTACCAAAGGGCATACAGGTTATTATTCATGCAGTAAATGTTGTCAAAGGGGCTTATTTGATAACAACAAACTATGTTTTCCTGACATAATTTTTGTTAAGCGGACGGATGAAGACTTCATTTCACAGAAACAAGAAGAACACCATATTAATACTTCTATTTTAACGACCATTCCTAACGTTGGTCTTATTTCTTGCTTCCCATTAGATTACATGCATCTTATCTGTCTAGGTGTTGTTAAAAAATTATTGCTGTTGTGGTGTAATGGGAAACCACCAAATAAATTATCTTTTGGTCAGATTTCAGAGTTGTCAAATTCTTTAATTTTACAGTCCAGAAATATTACTCGTGATTTTTGCCGAAAGCCTAGATCTATACTTGAAGTTAAACGCTGGAAAGCAACTGAGTTTAGGCAACTTTTATTATATAGCGGACCAGTTGTTTTGAAAAATATATTACCACAAAATATGTTGTTAAATTTTATGTCTCTTCATACAGCTATGTTCATTTTGTCAAACCCATTTAATTTAACACACGAAAGAGTTAATTACGCTGACTCTTTACTTAAATATTTTGTAGAAACATTTATGATTTTATATGGAAAATGTAACGTATCCCATAATGTTCATAATTTATTACATATAGCTGATGATGTTCTGCAATTTGGAAGTGTAGACAACTTTAGCGCTTTTCGTTTCGAAAACTACATGCAATTTATAAAACGCCTTGTAAGGAAACACGACAATCCGATTTCACAAATTGTACGCCGAATTTCAGAAATAAAAACATTTAGTCAGCTTTGTCGTACAGGGATAAACCAAAGTAAAGTTCAATTGAAAGAGCACTTTTCGGGCATTTTAATAGATGGATGTTATTCTCCCCAATATAGTAACTTTCATTTTCCTAAGTTTCAGCTGAAGATTATCGCTCCTGATAACTGCTGTGGTTTAAAAGACGGTAATATTATTATAATTGAAAATTTCGCAACTAACGCATCAAAAGATGTTGTCATAATTGGAAGAAAATTTTTAAGTGTAAGTGATTTCTATTTAGAACCTTGCAAGTCTTCATTAGTAGGAATTTTTAAAGTTCGCTGTTTGGGGGTATTGGAATATTGGCCAATTTCCAATGTAGATATAAAATATGTTAAATTTAATCTAGATAACAATAGTTTTGTCGTTGTCCCTCTTCTACACGGCGTTAACAATTAGTCCCTTTTTGTGTGTGATCTCACAAGTAGTCGTTTACTGGATTTTGACTTTTGTTTATCCTGAAAGACGTCTTGTAAGAAAATCAAATCATATTAAATTGTGCAGAACACGAACGAAATTTAACATTTAAAATGCCGTAAATATATGCATCGAAGCCTAATAATGCCGCACAGAAAAATGTATTATTTACTTTGTCAGCGTAACTATTTTACGATTATCTGGGGCTATTCTTTTGTTTTTCTTCTGTTATGCGTGGTGATGACTTTTTGATCAATCATAACTTTTAGAATGTGGGTGGTAGTATTATTTCAAAAAGAAAACTCTCTTGCTGTAATACCAAAATGTTGGTTAATGTTTGACAATGATAAATGCTACTGGCCTCCAGTACCAGACGTGTCGAATTACGTCTGTAAGTGCAAAGAGCCGGATGGTAACTGGCATGTATTTGGGGTGAGAGTTTTAAACAATGGAAAAGTGTATGGTAATTTACAACCTGTCGAAGTTTAAGCTTATTTTAACTTATTGTTTTTTTAGACAATTATTTGAAAGCACGGGCAGCTGCTCGTGCCGCAGAAAACACGTCCGATATAAATACAGAATCTGAAGATCAAAAGAAAAGGAAACGGAAACCAAAAAAAATTTATAGTGATTCTTCTTCTGAAGATGATGATATTAGCGTCTATTCCAAGGCTGCATTCCCACCTTTAGCCAATGCCCCAACGCGTTTTGCTTGTAAGTTTCATTTGTTAGTATACCCCTTTTAGGCATTGTTTTCTTCAGCCTGTTCATCGTCAGAACCAAGAAGTGCAATCTCACAAAGTTCCTCCGAGTTAAACAAAAACGGTAAAGTATTTAAAAGTAACGTTTGTTTATGCCATTCTGATTATTTCAGACATTTCTTCTTCTGTTTCTAAAGAAACTCTCACAGATGGTAAGTTCCACGCATTTTAATGTGTTGTTTTGTAGTGTTCTTGTTTCAGTGTCCCCGTCTACTTCACAATCCCAAAGACTGATTGAAAAAACTTCAGATGGTGAGTTTCAGTTTTGTATAATTACGTCTATCATTAAATCCATTCTTAGATTTTTTGCACCGACTGCGACACCAACTTTCTGTCATGAATTTTAAAATCAACAATATACAAAGTGACATGACAACTATCATAGATCTGTTAAGGAAAACACAAGAAGTGAACTCAGGTCAAAGTGATTTTAATTATGAACCATTACCCTTGCAAACTTTGCAATCACTAAACGAATTTGAGGACTATTTGCAAATTGAGGACAATTTTAAAAAATTTGTATGTTTAAATTTTTAACGTCAATATTTTTTAAACTTTGATGGAATTTTCACATTGCAGACTTTGTTTGTTCAGAAAATTGGAGGTTCGTCCATATATGAATGCGTGAAGAGGGTGCTTAGAAGAGTTATGGTTGACGAATTAGCGACAAAATTCTCATGGAACGGCA